GTGTGTGTGTGTGTGTGTGTGTGTTTGAGCAGGGTGTGTGCTCGAGTAGAGAGGGACAAGGTCAGAGAGCGAGAGGCACAGAGGAAGAGATGCTGCACCTGTGCACGATCACCTGAGGAGAACTACAATAAAAAGTCAAACACAAAGAGAGGATCACAAAGAGACGGTAAACATGGAGCTGCAGTCCCACATCTGAGAGAACCTGCTTCAGCCGGCTCGTTGTCAACAAGGTAAAACAACACACTTCGTCCAGTTCTCTGTGGCTTCATGTCAGAGTTTTACATGTTTGTTGACAGAATAGATCATTTAAAAGCATTAGTTTGGTTTGTTATCATTTCAACAGTTTTTTATCAGATCTAACATTTCAGACTGTGACAGGTGAAGAACGATAAAGTCCAGGACTTGTTTCTATCGTTGTCTCTGCACAGTTGCACGATATCAGAGGTCCATCAACAAACCATTTTCACAATCTGTTCATCATTTACTTGGTTTATTAAGCAAAATGTCAAATATTCAACCCAGTCTCATTTCAAAACGTGTAATAAATCTTTGGGTTCTGGACTGATGCTCAGACAAAACAAGATATTGAAGAAGCTCTACGATGTTGCAATGGGTTCTTTTATATTTTAAAGACCAAATGTTAAATGTTTTGACAAAGTTATGTGTGATTTAAACTCTGCAAGATGGAGGCAGGTCTTAGAAGCTGAAATGAAACGGTATCTGCTGTTACAACATGATGAACTGATGTCACTGCTTGTCTGTCTTTAATTTCACTTCTGGACTTTGTCTCAAGTCACGTGAAGTTTCCATCGACCTTCAACTTCGTCTTTTAAAAACATTCACAGCTCTGACGATTTGAAGGGAAACACTCACACACACGTTTACGTCGATGCATTAGTTTTATTATGAACTCCCTTCATCAAGTCATTCAACTCTGCTGTTACGGGTCAACGGTGAAACTTGCACAAAGGATGAAACCTGAGAGTTGCATGAACCATCAGCTCAATTATGAGAGCAGCACAGTCCCCGGTGTCCTCGGAGTCTCTCTGCAGCTCAGACATTGTGCCTCTGAAAAGACGTCGCGGCTGGTTAGTGATTTCCAAACGTGGCCCCTGTGTTCCCTTCCTGCTGTGATCTCTGATGCTTTGCCGAGCGGCTCGCCCACACATGAACAAAATACATGGTAACTTATTAAAGAGATCGACGGAGGGCCTCCTTTGTGTCAACACGGCTTTTTGTCTCAAAGGTCACATCTAAGTCAAACACACCAAAAAGAAATATGTGTTCATATCGTGCCGCCATGTTCTTTTACATAACACGGTGTGAAAGTGCCGTCGGGGCCTCTCAGTTACTTTGTGCTGCAGAAACTACTTGATGGAAAGTCAACAATATCATGGAAATGCTGTGCAAACGTTTGTTACGGAGCAGCCGCTGCTTTTTTTCAAAGACTTAACCACATCCACTCCAACTGGAGTCAGACAGAAAAAAAAAAGAGAATTTACTTTAGATAATGAGCTTGAGTCTAAAAATGGTAACAGCAGCTGAGAAGCTGAAGTAAACAGAGGCGTGAGATGAAGCTGCAGCCGCTGGAGAACTCATGAAAGCTTTTCTTCTGTTATTCTGTGTCTGGACACAACCAGGTCCGACATGTAGGACAGTTTGTCCCCCCAACATCCGTCCACTTATGAAACCACATTCAAACATTTTAACCAGATTTGTATTTGGGTCCGATTGCACTCACGCAACAAAATGCTTTTATCTTCGTGTTAAAGAAGCTGATGAAACAAATTCCCTGACCCACCCTTTGTCTGGATCAACTCCAAACACTTAACGTCTTTCTCTCCCCCGATGTTCTATCCTTTTTCTGTGGACACGTCCAGGAGTTTATGAGTAATCTTACACAAACAAACAAAACAGGGGTGGACACATAACCTCCTTCGTAAATCAGCATAACTGAGCCAAGACTTCACATTGAGACCAAAGGAGGAAAAGGGCTTTGACGTTAAAAACAAATTCCTCTAAATGTGAAACTGTTTATTTAATCAAAGTTCAATTTGTACATCGTTTCCGACGCCGCTTCCTTCTTGAACCTTTGCACCACTTGTTCGTGCCGGGTGCCTAAACATCACACGGGGCAGATAAGAGTAAGACAAGTGTTTCCTGAGAAGGGCATGGACTCTGTATTTGCGTAGGTGCTTCATTGTTTCCTGTCAGGTCTCATAAAGCTGCAATCATGGCTCCATTGAAACTCATAAAATCTGCTTTAATAGCAACAGTCATCCAAATACTGAAGAGTAAAGTTGAGCTTCTTAAAAGTGTGGAGGAAAGAAAAAGAGGAAAAAAACCTCAGAAATGATAAACGTATTTATTTAGAGTGTTGATTTTATCTCACAGAGGAAAACTGATTCATTTAAGATTCATCGATTGATGTTTTCAAGTAAACCATATTTTAATAGAGTGAATAAATTCTTTATGATACAGTGAAGAGACAGGAAACACGTGAAGTTCACGTCCTTCTACACAAACTTTATTACTGACTCTGATCCTGGTCAGGTATGTTCACCATGTGACTGAGGATGACAACAGCTGACTGTGAAACTCCTGGTTCTGTAACTTGGGTCGAGGTGCATCAGTAAATGAGATTAAACCATAAAATCACTTTTCTCCTTCACTTCGTTGTTATTATATAACAGTGAGCTCCTGCAGCAGCATGACGACAACAGCTTGCTTCCTCGGGGCCAGTTTGTCTTTTCTCTGTCTTCATATCAGATCACACGAGGGACAGAGGACACTGATGAGATGCTCATTAATTCATCAGCTGAGAGGAGCAGAGTGTCGGGTGTCCTCCTCCGTGAGGTGACGCCTCCTCATCACGAATGAAGAGGAGCCTCTCAGGGGCCGTGTGCAGACCCGTCCTCAGACTGCACGCGGTCATTCGGCTTTTTGAACGATAAACACAACAATTAAATATAACCATTGTAAAGTGGAGATCTTAGAGTTTGATAGAGAAAACAGTTTCTATCTACATGGATTTATCTTCAGTGAAATATGAACCACCGTCATTAACGCTCTTATGTCTTCTACACCAGGTCCGTCCTCCGGTCTCTGTTGGTGCCATGGCCGAACCAAGCTGGTGGAAGCTGACCTTCTCCCGCAAGAAGAAGTCCGAGTCCAAGGTTCTGTACGAGATCCCGGCCGAGTACGGCATCAACACCGGGAACAAAGAGCACTCGAGCAATAACCCCCCCGCAGACCACACGGACAGCCAGTTCAACGCCAGATTGGAGAAGATCGTGGACAAATCTGCCACCAAGGGCCGCCATGTCAAGGTGTCCCACTCCGGCCGCTTCAAGGAGAAGAAGAGGGTCCGCGCCACGCTGGCCGAGAACCCCAGTCTGTTCTCAGAGCACAGCCTCAGCGACGAGAACCACAAAAAGAAGACTGACAAATAAGTGCACCTGCGACCAAAAGGCTCATACTTGATCACAACCGTGTCATATGTCCGTGTGTCACTTCGGACGAAGGCTAAACACAACCACGTCGCTCCACATGTACAAGGTGGACAATCACTTGTTAGCAGGCACCACACCCAGGTAGATACTGTTACCAATGGACTCACACCTAAACAAACAGGTGGTATCAGCAGACGACCATTAAACATTCACAGAGCGGAGCGGAGGAGAAACACTTTCCTTTGGATTGAAATCAGAAATGTACGTGTCATGAAGGAGAAGAAGGAAAACTCTGCCCGAGCAGCGTCATGATTATTAAACATTATTGTAATTCATGTTTTCATCTTTTGTGTTTGTAGAGTTTTGGATTGTAAGTTAATTTTTTTATGTCCAATATTCAATCAGTGACGTGTGTGTGTGTCTGTGTGTGTGTCTGTGTTGTGCAACCAAAGCACTGGAAATTTTTATTACGTTTTTGAGACTTGATTTCAACAACTGGAATCCGCAAGAAGAAAATAACGTGTTTTGTTTTTAATAAACGTGTCTGGATGCGTTAATACGAAAGATTTCTGTGTATTTGTGTTGAGTCACTGTTCTTTCAAACATGGCTGCGTGTTAATCTCGGTGACGTCACTCTTTGAGGTTGTTATGCTGGCATGGTGATCGTAAACAGAAACTGTCGCCTGGCGTGCTGCGGCAGTTTGTAATTCAACGCTCCTCATGTCGCTTCTCACGCTGGAGATACACGAGAGATGATCATTTATAAAACTATGCTTCATTTTGAGTAACTCTGATGTTTGCATGTATTGTACTGGCGACATCTGCTGGCTACAAAATGCACTTAGTCCTGAGTCGCAAATGAAACTTTATTATTGGCAATATTTCACAGTTTATTCAAATAAAAAATATTCTTACACACTTACTGCCAAGTTCATAATACACACAATAATAATTGGCACAGATAACATCATTTTAATCTCATGAGTAAAAGGCAGTTGGATCAATCATAAGTTTATATTTGAAGTCTCATTGAATCAACCCATTAATGAAGCATTATAAAAATAAACTTGACAACAGTTGTTTGAGGTTGTATGAGATGGTTGAGGTGTTCCTAATAATGTGGCCACTGAGTATGTATTTGGTTTAAATTGATCAACTGACAAAATAACGTTTTTATTCACTTACAATTGGCACAAAATTACAAACTGTCCTTCTGCTAACTTCCTTGGGGACTATTAACGTTTAATCAAAGTCACATCGACAGACGTGTTTGATGGAGACGTGAGAGTCGGCTGAAGATTTTGCTTCTAGAAAAATAAAGAGTGAAGGTCGACGACGACACGGATGAATAACCGACATCACTGTGGATCATTATTTAACACGTGGAGTTTGACCTCCCGTCACTTTCTGTTCATCACGTCATTTTCACTTCATGTAAAGTTTTACAAAGACACAACGAGGTTTGGCTCTGTGAAGAATCCTAAACACAGCAGCACCTATTTAAGTAGTTTCCAGCAGAGGTAAAGACCTTAACCACGGAGTCTCTGTCCGTCTGTGGAGGGACATCTCATGGAGACAGCCGCTCATACACCCACTCTCCCGCCGCAGCGCGTTGAAACTCTCCCAGCTCCGACTCGCCGTCCTTCGGTTTGGTGAAGACAATGCGGTCGTGAAGTCTGTTGGTCTGACCCTGCCAGAACTCAATGGAGTGAGGTTTGACGATGTAGCCGCCCCTGTGCGCAAAACACGACACGGCAGGGAGAGAAAATCAGGAACTAGACTTTTCGTGAATATGCTTGTTTACCGTCTTGCTGGAATGAGACACTTCTAGTTTTTCATCCTGTTTTCAATGTTGTTTCTGGTTAAAAGGACAAAGCAGGTCCTCTGGCTTTAACACTTGATTTTTCATTGTTTTCATGAGTTGACTGTCAAATGCAAAGTTTGATTCTCGGAGAGGAGACCTTTGTTGCATTCTACAGAGAGTAATGCTCACCAGTAATCAGGCATCGGCACCTCTGTGTCCTTGTACTTCTCCTCCAGTTCTGCGTTTTTCTGCCTCAGATACTAACAGAAAGTCCACAGTGAAAACTGAGCCCTCGATGTTCATGAATCATACACCTTGTGTTAGTGGTTTCAGTTCTTACGTCTCTGTCGGGAACAGCGGTGCTCTGTCGACTCACAACCGCCCCGATCTGGCTGCTCTTCGGTCGGGAGTGGAAGTAGTCGCAGGAGCTCTGGTACGGGATTCGCTCCACTGCGCCCTCGATACGAATCTGAAGAATAAGATAAGGAAAAAAGTTGTGTTTATAATCCTGTAGGATGCAGAGATACCTGGAAAAAACATTTTTGAACTGCGAATGATGTTGATGGTGAATATCTGCCCGTGCACATTGACTGTGGAGGAAAAACACACTAATGTCTTCAATAAGACACTGAGCCTGGTAGTTTTTGTACCTGTCTGTTCAGAGGTTCCCAGTAGAAAACCAGGCAGGCATACGGATTACTCTCCTGTGGACAGATTAGAAGAGCTCACATTAAAAAGTCAGATCAACACATCACAAGTTTTCAAACTGACAGGATGTGAACTGGTGACGTCTTTTTTTCCTCACCAGTTCAGAACCCTTTCTGCTCTCGTAGTTCGTAAAGAAGCGGAATCCATCGTCGCTGTAGCCCTTCAGAAGGACCATGCGAGCAGACGGGCGTCCATCCCTGATCAGGCAGAAAACAGTTTGACTGTGAAATACACTCAAGGAAAACATCACAGTTCAGGCGGTGGCGGCGGCGGCGTCTTACTTGGTGGCCGTGGCGATGCACATAGCGTTGGCCTCTCCGACCTCGGGGCACTTTGTGGCTTCATCGAACCAGTTTCCAAACTGCTTGATCGGGTCCAGAGACACAAGCTGATTCTCTTCAAAACACTTGAGAACAAAAAGAGCCGATCAGTTCCAACACAAGCTTCATGCAGACGTGGAAAGACTCACTGGTTAACTAAGAATATCACCGTTTGGTATTCAGCTGCAACATCACACTTTCACCACTAGATGTCCCTGAGTCCTACACACTGAACCTTTAAATGTTGGTTTTCACAGTTGAAGGATTCACATCGAAAAGTGTCCATGTTGGATTTTAATGAAGGAAACAGTGAAACCTGTGACACATGTTCTAAGCATGTTGAGCCCATGAATAAACATGAGACACACACACACACACACACACACACACACACACTCTCTCTCTCTCTCTCTCTCACCTCCTCGTCTCCTTTGTATTTCTTCCTCATGTCGCTCAGGTCCATGATGCTCGTGTCCGTGGATGTTTTGCTGCAGAACCTCGGTGCAGGAGCTCCTCTTTGATCCGTGGTCGCGCGCACAGGACACGGAGGGCTCCTGCAGATCAAACGGATCCAGCTGAATAAAGTCGGACCGTGAACGCGCCTCATCCTGTCCAGCGCACGGTCACCTGACGTAGCTCCGCACGCTTTCTTACGTAAAGCGAGTTTTGTAACCGGAAAACAAATGAGAAAACCGGTTTGTGGGAGTTTAATACAAGTTAATGAATAATCCTCAGAGATACAATGTGCAGTTAAATATTAATGTGCGTTGAAATGATTCAGAGAGGAAATGATTCTTTACGTGAGCTTCAGAGAGGGCAGTTACGAAAATATCAGCCACGGAGAGTTTCTATTTGCCGAAGTGACCGTGAACGCAGCATTTGCTGCAACGTCATTTCCGGAATCTCCTTTTCCTGTTAAAGATGGCGGCGACCTTGTGTTCGAAGTTTCTACAGAAACAGGGTAAAACCGAGAGATTCCTGTCGTGAGAACTGTGTTGATTCACTGCGGGTGGATCTCTGGTTTGTCCGGAACTGTTGAATTTCACCTGTGCTTCGGTTAAAAGCGTTTTTCTGGAGACTTAGCCGCCGTTAGCATCGGTGGCTAATGAGCGGTGCAGGTGTTTATCCGTGTCTCTGTTTCCTCCAGGATGGCTTCCCCTCACCCAGAGTGTCCGACACGGCTCCAAGGCCGTGACTCGACACCGGAAACCGCTTCACATCCTCCGGCAGAAGCTCATGGCCGTGACCAAGTACATTCCTCCAGAGAGGGTCACTCCTGCAGGAGCCTACCCAGCCCCAACCAAGCGAGTCCAGGAGGTGACACGTTGATGATAAAAGTTTATTCATGCAGCACTGCTCAAGAACAGGTTCACAGAGTGCTGCACAAAACACTCAAAGGCTTAATAATAATAATAATAACAGTCATGTGATAAAGAGGACAACGAGGAAGCTTGTCTGACTCACAGTGGAAGGTTATTTCATAGTCGTGGAGTTTTTGTCAGAACTCATATCCGAGCAGGAAAGTGTTTCACGACTAACTGTTGTGATGTTTCCCTTCATCAGGAGAATGCTCTGATGTTGCTCCTCAAGAGGGATCTGAAGAAGCTGTTCCAGGACAGTAAGATGGTCGCTGTGGTCCAGAACAACGCCAGCAACTCTGAAGACATGATGCTTCTCAAGAACAGACTCTTCAAACATGGCATCCTCGTCAAGTTCTTCCCAAACCAGGTATTTATTAAATCATATATGTATATATTTAAATCTGTGAGAGTACTTCACCTTGTGTAGCTTGTTCTTGATCTGTTTTTAAAGTGTTCTTTAGACAGATGATGGCAAATCAGGAGGCAAAGGGTTGAGGAAAGATATTTAATAGAGGTCTCAGACAGGAGATGGTGCAATGACCCCTCGGACAATAGAAAACCCAATTTTTGCATTTTCATTAAAACCGTAGTGATTTATATAATAATTGGATCCACTTGAATTGACAGAGTAAGGATCAGTAACATTTATTCTGATGCCTATGTTGATATTTTGGAATCTGGACTCATCATATCTGCAGCTGCTACTTTAAACCTCTGTAATATTTATTTTGAACTTCATCAGAGGTTACTCATCTCTATTCTTGTTTGTTTCCAGGTGACGCGGTCGTTCCTGATGGACAGTGCCTACAGCAACATGGCTCCTCTGTTCATTGGTCCGACGGTGCTGTTTGTTAGTAAAGAGCCGAAGGTGAAGGAGATGCTGAAGGCGCTGAGGTCCAGTCCTCAGATGACTCTACTGGGTATGTTAGTTTTTTCTGTGTCTGCTCGTGTGGAGGAGCTTTACTCTATTTATAATTATTTATAATCATCCGTCTCAACAGGAGCGTGCATCGACGACACACTGCTGAGTGTGGACGGGATCGTGAGCTACTCCAAACTGCCGTCGATGGCTGTGGTCCAGGGTCAGCTGGTCAGCGGGCTGACGATGCTGACCTCCCACACCGCCTCCCTGCTGCAGCGCCACCCAGCGCACCTGTCGGCCCTGCTCCAGCAGCACATCCGGCAGCAGAGCCCGGACAGCGGCGCTGCAGAGGAAGCCACGTAGACTCAGAGGAAATCACTGAGACTGTTTTCCTTTGCAGACGCTTGGACAACGAGGGAGCGTAGAGTTGGACGAACGCTTCACCATCATTTGACTTCAGCAACAAAATTCCAGGCAGATTTTCACTGTACCCGCCCATGGGATCACTGTTCACTCACACTCGTGGGTAAAGGATTCTGCAGACTGGACTGGTTTCTGTCTTGGACGGACAATGCTGCCAAAATATCACCGTTGCCCAAGCTCTTACTTTATTTAAAATATTGTCACACATGAATAAATGATGAAAACTCCATTTATTGCTCAGACTCTAAATCGTTTTTTGGATTTAAGATTGTTTCTAACTCTCCCATCGGCTTCTACAGGTTTGCTGCAGAGAACGTTACCATCAGCACGGTGTCAGGATGTTGGTAGATTTCTTTACCTTGCTCATAAAACTGAATACAACAGTGCCAGCTAACTTAAGTGGCATCATGAAAACCACTCCAGCCAAAATAAACACCAGTGGTCACAGATCCTGAAAGTTAATCTGCAGATTACATGTTAATCTGGGTCAGTTGGTCTAGTATGTCCTGTTTTCTGAGTGAGGCTGACGTTCCTCTGGAGTTTTATACAACTTCACACGTGTCTGCAAGAAAACGAGTGAATTACAAAACTGTTTAAATCACATTAAGGTTAAAAAAAAAAAAAGTAAAAATCTGTATTAACACAATTAAATACGTCTGAAGATGCTTTGATTTTGATGTTAATCAGATAAAGATGCAGACGAGGAAGGAGAAACAAATTACTTGAAGAGGGATTAGTTGAGTTTGTTCCAGAAAAACAGCAGCAACTCCGAAGACGTGGTCATCGTCAAGTTCGTCTCCAAACAGGTAAAGATGAAATCATTTGTATTCTTGTGACTTGTTTTTAAAATGGTGAGTTTACTGGACAGTGAGTTCTGTCAACATCACGTCTACCATCACTTTATCCCTGAGCTTCAATAGATGGCACGCACTGAAGGATGATGGGAAATTAAGAACTGAATCAATAATTATATTGTAGAATATATAGTTTAATCACATTTATACACCTTAAACTGCTCCCTGTGATGAGTTACTCCCTGTCCTGAGTTACTCCCTGTCATGAGTTACTCCCTGTCATGAGTTACTCCCTGTGATGAGTTACTCCCTGTGATGAGTTACTCCCTGTGATGAGTTACTCCCTGTGATGAGTTACTCCCTGTGATGAGTTACTCCCTGTGGTGGCTCCTGTGTAAAGTCTTTGCTTCTAGCTGAGTGAGCAGCACAGTGAGTGGAGGTCGGCTGGATTTACCTCCCTACAGCTACATCCCTGCTAGACACTGTGTAATTCCAGCTAATGCGGATAATGCCCAGGACATATTGCGCACGACGCGCGCTCCCGGCGACGCACAGCTCTCCTTGAGGCACCCACCCCCCCCCCTCCACCCCGCAGCAGAGGCTGGACACGGCCGCCACTCAGATTATGTTCAGAATAAGTGATAATCTGTGAAACATGCGCTCACAAACTCCCTCTTCCTGCTGTTTTTGACGGTTCTCGATGGGAAAACGTTCCGTGCGTCCTGACGGTGATTTCCTCCGGATTGTGAGACGCCAGATGAGACTTTTGTTGGATTTACCGGACGCACAGAAGAGCCGCGGATGATGAGAGTCGGGGGAGGTTTTCAGGTAAAACTCATCACTGGTCATTTTACGCATGATATTTACGCAAAATGTAAAAATGTGGATTCAACTCTAATGAAGAATATTTGATAAAATCCCCAGAACTGAACAACCTGTAGATTTCTACACAGCTGCCTGTTGATAAAATATAATAATTCTGTTTTGAAAGAAACCGTGTCGACGTGTTTTCAAGGTTAAAATATAAAAACCCGTTTGGATGAACGTGTCCTCTGCGCGCTGCAGGTGCAGTGACTTCTTAATGGGCTTTAGATTAGAGCCTGTGCGGCCCTGGACAGTTCAGAGGTCCTGCTGCACTTGTCCAACATCAACCGAGGACGCACAGTCAGAAATATCAGTGAAATGCACCATCCATGTTATGATGACTTTATTTTAGCACCTTTCAAAACAGCCCCTATAACAAAAAACAGGAAAACAAATCTCCAAAGACAAGAAGCAAATAAATACGATGTCATTTAAAATGATTCAATACAAAATCTAACAATCAAACATTTCAAATGACAAAAGAATAAAATAAACACATTATCTGCCTCCTACAGTGAAAACAAGTTGCAGCCTGCAGCGTGAGTTTCTACAGTCACACACATTCAAACCTGTTGTTTTCTTCCCACACTCTGACTGTGACGTTTCATTTACATTTACAAAGAGTTTACAAACCCACACAAACCAAAACCTCAACTCGCTTCAAATGTTTGTTCTGTTCAAGTCTGAGGCTGAGAATGTTTTTCAAGCTTCCACAGATCCAGTGTGTGTTTCATCAGCAGCAGGTTTATCACAAAAATCAAATTACAATTCTCATAATCTCAGTATTTTGACTTGTTTGCATCTGTTTCCATGTCCTGAGCTCATATTATCTCACCTCACTCATTTCTCTATTTCAGCCCTTTAGTTCTTGATTGCGTTTTAAAACCAGTTGCACAACATTTAACTGAGATCAAAACCAAACGTTCCATCATGCAGAACATTATTTGTGCTCGTCCGAAGAGTAAGCGAGCTCAGAAACCTGCAAATCCCTTCATCCTGTTTCCACCACATGCTCCATCAGCGAGGTCATTTACTCTCATCCTTTGCTTTGATCCTTACGTAACAAGTCAGGCTGCTTCTGCACAGATTTAGACTCACATCAGTTTGGGTGGAACGCTCGAATCATTGTGCGAGTTCTCATTGTCCTAAAGTTTGGAGCTTCAGGGCGACGCTGTTAGAAACACAGAGTCTCAGTGTGATTTCATACAGTTCACAGAATGAAACCAGGTGAATGTAGGAGTTTGTTTTCTGTGAATAAATTAACACACACATAACACAATATATATAATTTGGTCCCTGTCTCACAGGCACCTTCAGCTTCATGTCATCATACATGTTTTTAATTGTAGGATGAAACAGGATTTTGGTGATTTTTAGGTGTTTAATGATTAATTTATAATGATTAATGTGTAAACATTAGTGTGTAATGATTAGTTAAACAGAAAATGTATCTGCAACTATTTAATTTCGATCGTTTAGAGCATTTTAATATTTCTCTGAAGTATGTTGTAAAGGTATTAATGAAAAGTGCTGTACGTGTAAATAAAGCATATGTTGCTTCTTCTTCTTAAAATCTTTTATCTAAACGGTTCATGTCAGAGTCCTTTGACGCCACTCAACCAACAGACACATTTCAAGATGTCGTCAGCATCTTCTCTTTCCTTGCGTCTGGTCTCTCGGCCTCGAGTTCTTCCTGCTCCACGTCTGAGTGACAAGCTGCTAAAAACATCCCCTGAAAAACCAATTAAGCAGAAGTTGGTAATCCTCTGCTCGTGTCACAGAGTCGTCACACCGTCATGTGCAAAACACAGCGAGTCCTCTGTGATGAGGTCATTGATATATGCTTAGTTATTTTTATTATGT